GAGGTGTACCTGGGTGTGTCTGAGGTGTATCTGGGAGTGTCTGAGGTGTAACTGGGAGTGTCTGAGGTGGTACCTGGGAGTGTCAGAGGAGTACCAGGGAGAGTCAGAGGTACCTGGAGCACAGAGGTGGCCCTGTGAGTGTCAGAGGTGTACCCCAGAGTGTCTGAGTTGTTCCTGGAGTGTCTGAGGTGTACCTGGAGGTGAGAGGTACCTGGGAGTATCGGGAGTGTACTTGTCAGTGTCCGAGGTGTATCTGGGAGGTCAGCGGTGTACCTGGGGAGGTCAGAGGTGTACCTGAGGAGTGTCAGATGTAACTGGAAGTGTCTGGGTGTACCTGGGAGTGTCAGGGGTGTACCTGGGAGTGTCAGGAGGTGTACCTGGGAGTGTCTTGGGTGTACCCAGTAGTAAGCTTAAGGTGTACCTGTGGAGTGCCTAGTGGTGTACCTGGGAGTGTCTGGAGGTGTACCCAGGGAGTGTCTGAGGTGTACCTGGAGTGTCAGAGAGTTGCACCTGGAAGGTCAGGAGGTACCGGAGGTCAGAGGTGTACCTGGGAGGTCAGAGGTGCATGGGAGTGTCAGAGGTGTACCTGAGTGTGTCAGGAAGTGTACCTGGGAGGTCTGGGTGTACCTGGGAGTGCTCAGGGGTGTACCTGGGAGTGTCAGAGGTGTACCTGGGAGTGTCAGAGGTGTACCTGGGAGGTCTGAGTGCACCTAAATGCTCAGGGGTGTACCTGGGAGTGTCTAAGGTGTACCTGGGAGGTATGAGGTGTACCTGTGAGTGTCAGAGTTGTACCTGGGAGGTCAGAGTTGTACCTGGGAGGTCAGAGGTGCACCTGGGAGCAAGTCAGAGGTGTACCTGGGGAGTGTCAGAGGTGCACCTGAGTGTCAGGGGCAGGTACCTGCAAGTGTCAGTTGTATACCTGGAGCAAGTTCAGGTGTACCTGGCAGTGTCAGTGGTGTGCACCTGGGAGGTCAGAGGCCTGAGGCCGAGGTGTACCTGGGGAGTGTCTGAGGTGCACCTGGGAGGTTGGGGGTACCTGGGAGTGTCTGAGGTGCACCTGGGAGTGTATGAGGCACCTGGGAGTGCTGGGAGTTGTACCTGGATGTCAGGAGTTGTACCTGAGGCCAGAGGTGCACCTGGAGTGTCAGGAGGTGTACCTGGGAGGTCAGAGGTGCACCTGGGAGGCCAATGGTGTACCTGGGAGTGCTGGGGCTGGTATACCTGGAGTGCCCGAGGTGTACCTGGCAGGCCAGTGGTGCACCTGGGAGGTCAGAGGTGTACCCAAAGAGGCCAGGAGGTGCACCCAGGGAGGTCAGTGGTGTACCTGGGAGGCTGGGGTTGCATACCTGGGAGCAAGTCTGAGGTACCTGGCAGTGTCAGTGGTGTACCTGGGAGTGTCTGAGGTGCACCTGGAGTGTCTAAAATCTGGGAGTGTCTGAGGTGTACCTGGGAGTGTCTGATGTGTACCTGGGAGTGTCTGAGGTACCTGGGAGTGTCTGAGGTGTACCTGGGAGTGTTCGAGGCACCTAGAGTGTCTGGAGGTACCTGGGAGGTCAGAGTTGTACCTGGGAGGTCAGGAGGTGTACCTGGGAGTGTCAGAGGTGGTACCTGGGAGTATCAGAGGTGTACCTGGGAGTGTCAGAGGTGTACCTGAGGTGTCAGAAGTGGTACCTGGGAGTGTCTGGGGGTATACCTGGGATGTGTCAGGCGTGTACCTGGGAGTGTCAGAGGTGTACCTGGGAGTGTTAGGGAGGTGTACCTGGGAGGTCTGAGGTGCACCTGGGAGTGTCAGGTGTACCTGGGAGGTCTTAGGTGGGTACCTGGGAGTGTATGAGGTACCTGAAGGTCAGAGTTGTACCTGGAAGGTCAGAGTTGTACCTGGGAGGTCAGAGGTGCACCTGGGAGTGTCAGAGGTGTACCTGGGAGTGTCAGAGGTGCACCTGGGAGTGGGCCAGGGGTGTACCTGGGAGTGTCAGTTGCATACCTGGGAGGCTGTCTGGAGGTGTAACTCGGGAGTGTCAGAGGTGTACCTGGGAGTTTCTGGAGGCACCTGGGAGCGTCAGGGGTGTACCTGGGAGTGTCTGAGGTGTACCTGAGAGTGTAAGGGAGGTGTACCTGGAGTGTCAGAGCTGTACCTGGGAGGCCAGAGTTGTACCTGAAGTGCTGGGAGGTGCACCTGGGGAGGTCAGAGGTGTACCTGGGAGGTCAGAGGTGTACCTGAGAGTGTCAGAGGTGTACCTGACAGTGTCGGAGGTGCACCAGGCAGGGAGTGTCAGTGGTGTACCTGGGAGTTTCAAGTTGTATACCTGGGAGCATGTCTGAGGTGAGAAACTGTTATAAATTTCAATGGAGTGAACCTGTTATTAATTTATGGAATAGAGAACCTGTTATACATTTCAATGGAGTAAAGAACCTGTTATTAATTTCAGTGGAATTGAGAACCGTTATAAATTTCAGCGGAGTAAGGAACCTGTTATTAATTTCAGTGAGTAAGGAACGTAATACACTTAAGTGGAATAGAGAACCTGTTATAATTCAGGAGTAAGGAACCTGTTATTAATTTATGAATAGAAAAACCTTTATAAACTTCCCAGGAGCAAAGAACCTGTTATTAATTTATGAATAGAGAACCCGTTATAAATTTCAATGGAGTAAAGAACCTGTTATCAATTTCAGTGAATAGAGAACCTGTTATACCCCAGTGGAGTAAGAACCTGTTATTAATTTAAGTGAATAGAAAACCTTTATAAATTTCAGTGAGTAGAGAACCCCATATATAAGCATATTTTCCTTATAATAATACAAACCTATCTACCAATCACGCACGTCATTACACCACCAATACCCATTCATTCATATACAGTCAACAAATAAAGGATACTATGTACCGCCACGTTGCCGCTTGGAGATACGCTACCACAGTGGGTATAGAACACATCTCCACAACTGAACCAAGCTGGTTTAATTTTTTTTTTCTAACGGATTAAAAACGAAATCATCTAAACCCATCCAAACCAGTTTTACTTTCATAATCTTTTTCATTAAGATTACGTACGTTAGGTTAGGTTTGTTGCTTGGTTAAGTTAGGTTGGGTCGTTGAGAGGTTTTTGTTTGGTTGGTTGGTTGGTTAGATTTGGTTTGGTTGGTTTAAATTAAGCTTGGTTTTGAGTGTTAGTTTGGTTGGTTGTTAGGTTGATTTGGTTGGTTGCTAGGTTGGATTTATTGGTTAGTTGGGTTGCTGGTTAGGTTAGGTTAGGTTTGGTTGGGTTGATTGGTTGGTTAAATTTGACTTAAGGTTAAGTTTGGTTGGTTGATTGATAAGTTTCTGGATTTAGTTGGTTGTTAAGTTTGTTGGTTAGGTTAGGTTAAGTTTGATTCATTGGCTTCACGTGTTTTAAGAGTCTCGAATGATAAACCATAAAAATCAGGGTTTATCTCGTAAATGTTGAACAAAACACTTCATCTCGGAGCACAAACTAATCAACTCTGGGATTTAAAAAAGGTAAAGGAGCTTTCTTCTTCTTCCACCAGATAAGACAAGCAAGTGTAGTAGCAAGTCAACTATTATCATATATCTATCTATCTATCTATCTATCCATTTATCTATCTATCTATCTATCTATCTATTCATTTCCGTCCGTTCGTCCGTCTGTCATATGTCTATATTTATTCTATATCTCAAACTATATCTATCTTCATATTAACCTATATACCAATGTATCTCTTTCCTTTAATAGGTTTATCTATGTATAATTATCTTCCTATCTATTCACCAATCCCTTGATAACGTCTATTTCAAAGTCTAATCGTTACCGGACTAATAACGTTACCGGACTAATAACGTTACCGGACTAATAAACTCTGGACGTTGCTAAACAAAAACAAAACCTCAATGTCAATATTTCAGTAATGAACAAAGTGCATCAACCCCAGTTTGACCTTGTTGCCTGCGCCGTTTAACTCTATGCATGTCTTCCTGCTTCACCTGACTGACCAACAATGTTTTTTATTTTATTTTTCAGCGTGCAGGGAGTTTTCAAATCTGTGGTATAGGATGGGTCAGGTCAGGTTGGGGAGGGAAGGGCAGGGAGGTGAAGGTCAGGTCAGGCAGGTATACTGTAGGTCAGGTTAGGCTGAGTATAGGTCAAGCCAGGAGAAAGGCCAGGCAGGTATAGGCCAAGACAGGTGAAGGTCGCATCAGGCAAGTAAAGATCAGGTCACGCCCTGGTCTCCCCAAGTGATGGCTGGCGGGGACAAATGTTTACCTCCCGCCGCAGCAACACAGAACATAGTCTGGAGATACGACAGCCCGCCAGCACCACCCAGGGAATTATTCAACACTTGTCGATATGATACCCAGGTCACCTCTCTCTCTCTCTCTCTATCTTTGTCTGTCTGTGTCTTTCTCGTGAGGGAGTGATGGACAGGCTAAGAGACAGTCATATTGGAGAAGTTTAGAATTTCCGCCGATGAAACATGTTGACTAGAGATGCTAGGACATGTGGAGTGACAAGTTACTCAGTTCTGATTCAATTCCATCAGAACCTCACCAGTCATTACTATGGGGTAGAAAAAACGCATAGACAGTTACTCCAGAAAGGCCTGGGTGACAGTAGCAATCCATCCCACGACTATAGACTGTTATTCAGACACTGTAGTTGGTAACCAACTACAGTGTCTGAGTGGCAGTCACCCATCAGAACGCTACCAGCCATTGTCGAGGAAGAAACTTATTACACAACACAGCACGACCACCAGTGTGTGTAGTTAAGAATTTCTATTTAACCTTTACAGTCTGGCACAATACTCTTAAGCTTTATATGCAATGAATTCACCAGACACATATGCATTGGGGTACACTGAGATGTTTTAGTATGTATTGAGACACGAATAGGAACTGAAGAACATTCTGAATTCACTTGTGTACACTCGCGTATAAAAGTTCCTTCCTTTATCTCTCTCTTCGAATCTGTGATAAACCCAGACGAGATCGTGCAGCGTCAACTGTGGGTGCACTCGTTGTTTGGAGTCTCGTTGTGGGAGTTTGGAGACTCGTTGTGGGAGTTTGGAGACTCGTTGTGGGAATTTGGAGACTCGTTGTGGGAATTTGGAGACTCGTTGTGGGAATTTGGAGACTCGTTGTGGGAATTTGGAGACTCGTGGGAATTTGGAGACTCGTTGTGGGAGTTTGGAGACGCGTTGTGGGAATTTGGAGACTCGTTGTGGCAGTTTGGAGACTCTTGGGAATTAGAGACTCGTTGGTGGGTGGAGACTCGTTGTGGGAGTTGGAGACTCGTGGAAATTTGGAGACTCGTTGGGGAGTTTGGAGACTCGTTGTGGGAATTTGGAGACTCGTTGTGGGTGGAGACTCGTTGTGGGAGTTTGGAGTCTCGTTCCAATAATTCCAAGTCTCATGGGTTTCTGTTCGTCACTTTAGCTTTATATTCTTCCAGCAATAAGTTTTAATAATCAATTCTTTCCGTTTACACCTACAGTATATAGTGGAAATACAAGATCTATCATACAAAAATTCTGAGGGCTTAAATAAAAGTGGTATCATCCCCATCCAATACCTCTGGTTTTATATACAATCATATACCCTATACCCGTATGGATTCAGAAATTCCACAGATTTGTTGATATAGAGGAAACAGGATTGAAAACGAAATTGATGAATATGCATAACTGGTCTCTGGAGATTGTACACTCGTGTATGATATTTAAGTTTATTTCAATATATTTATCTAAACACGTATGATAATAGGAGGAGGAATACCTGATCTTCAGATATTTTTAAAAGGTATCCGATGGAAATTGGCTATCATAATGCGGATTAAACTGGATTTCTTGTTTAGCTTTCACGAACGATGCCTTGGTTTGGTTTATAATAACTTAGGGACAATATACAGTAATACTGTATTTATTATGTGTTAGTATCAAATATATTAAAGTAGAAACACAATCTCCATTGAAGTAAAAATACCAGCTCGTGAAATAAAAATACCAGCTCTTTGTAATAAATACACTGGTTTTGTTAAAGGAGGAATACCACTTCTGTTAAAGTGAAAACAGCTCCTGCCGAGAAAATGCCAGCTGATTTGGTGAAATACCGCCTCTGTTTAAGTAGAGAGATCGTACACCTATTGACGTAAATACCAGCTATTGGCGTAGAAAATACCATCGCCGTTGAAATAAAAAGAGAAAATACCATCTCTGTTTATATATTTTTGAGGAATCGGATGGCAAATGGTATTATTGGAAGAGCGGATTCAGCCAGGTCTCTGGGCGTGTCAATAGTCTGTAGGCGGGAGGGCGGGTGGAGTGTATTGAGGGTGAAGGTGGGCGGTGGGCAGGGTGAACAAGGCTGTCCTGATGAAATACTGCAATGTACATGGATCACAGCCGGGCCACCGGAGGGAGAGGAGTGGGGAAAGGGGATTTGGGGAAAGAGGGACGAGGGAAGGTTGAGGGATGGGAACGATGGAAAAGGTTGGGGAAGGGTATTCGAGGAGAGGGACGAAGGAGAAAAGACCGGGGGGATTTGAGGAGAGGAACCAGGGAGGAAAATGTGAAAGTGATATTAGGGAAAGAAGAGGGAAGAATTGGGATGTTAGCTTAAAGGAGGTGGAGGGACGAGGAAAAAAATGGGGATAAGGTGGGGAAGGGTTATGAGGGAAGACATAGAGGAAAGGTACCATGCTGAAAGGGTTCTAGGGAAAGATGGGAAGGACAAGGGGGGAGATGCAGTAGGAGGGGTTCAGTGAAAGAAGAGGGGAAGGAGGCTCGGGATGGAGTGAGGGATGAAGAAGGGAGTTAGGGACGGAAGGGAGTGGTTGTTGTGAGGGAGGTTGTTGATGAAGGATGAGGGAGCACACTGATAATTTTGATTGAAAAATGAAGGAGAACAGAGAGAGAGAGAGATATTGAACAACCACACCACCTTCTCCCATACTATCAGTCCCCACTCTGCCTCCTCCTCCCCATCATCCCCACTATCCATCCTCTTAACATCTTCTCCTCCTTCTCCTGCCTCCCCCTCTTCCTCACTACCTGTCTTCCCTCCTCACCACCTGTCTCCCCCTCCTCACTACCTGTCTCCCCTCCCTCACTGTCTCTCCCTCCCTCACACCTGTCTCCCCTCCTCACTGTCTCTTCCTCCTCACTGTCTCCCCTCCTCACCTGCCCCCTCCTCACTGCCCTCCCCTGCCTCCCCTCCCCTGCCTCCCCCTCCACTGCCTCCCTCTCCCACTGCCTCCCCTTCTCAACTGCCCCCCCCCTCCCCACTGCCCCCTCCCCACTGCCCCCATTCCCCCTGCCTCCCCTCCCACACTGCATTCCCCCTCATTGCCTCCCTCTTCCTTTCTACCCCCCCTCCCTCCCCCTCCCCACTAAGGTGGTGTAAAGCCACACGTATTTTTCGTGTGGAAGTTGAGATAAGTGCTGGAGGTCCCTAGCCTACACAACATCAGAGTAGCTTTACTTTTCTTTGCATTTATATCTGTGCTTTCTGCTGCCTTGCTCACGAACCAACTCAGAGAGGTTTTTTTAGCGCAAGATGAGGTCAAGAAGGCCTGGGATTTTTTTTTTTAAAGGTTTGTTGACTGTTTTCAGAAGGACCAAGACGATGTGGGATTTTGCTTTTGTTTTGAAAGGCCCAGGGCGGTGTGGGACAAAACTAAAAAACAGTGTTGTGGTTAAGATTGGAAACCTTTATACTGTGTCGTGGTTAGGATTGTAAACCACTGAACCTGGGCCATGTGGATCGTAGATGGGATCAAAACTTTCTCAAAGCTTGAGAGTACAAATAGGACTCGAATCCATGTTTACTTTTTAAGAACAGTACACACACACACACACACACACACACACACACACACACACACACACACACACACCTTAGTTTTACCTTGCCACGCCCTAATGCATATCCGATGGCGTATGTAAATGTCCTCAAGTTATTCAGAGAAGAAAACTTGGAGCAGAACTTAAAACTTGAAGGTGAAGGCGAGAGTTTTCCAAGTATGTCGACTCTCTCGCTCAAATACATGCCGGAGATTAAGATGGTGTAAAGAAACAGTTTATATTAGGAGTGGTGGTGATAGTGATGGTGTTGGTAGTGTATTTATATTAGTATAGTGGTAGTAGTGTTAGTAGCAGCAGTAGTAGTAGTAGTAGTAGCAGTAGTATGTAGTAGTAGTAGCAGCAGTAGTAGTTGATAGTAGTAGTAGTATTATATGAACTGGTGTAGTGTCGCTCTCCTTCCGCTATCCTTACCCTCCTCATTCCCTCCCTACTACCCCCTGTCCTCCTCCTCACTACCCCTCTTTCCTCACTATCCTCCCTTCTCCTCTACCCTCCTCCCTCTCCTTACTACCCCTTTCCTCCTCCCCTACCCTCTTCCTCCTCCCCACTACCCCTTTCCTCCTCCCCTACCCTCTTCCTCCTCCCCACTACCCCTTTCTCCTCCCACTACCTTTCCTCCCCACACCCCTTTCTCCTCCCCCTTCCTCCTCCCTCCTCCTTACCCCTTCCTCCTCCCCACTACCCTCTTCCTCCTCCCCACTACCCTTTCCTCCTCCCCCTACCCTCTTCCCCTCCTCCCACCCCCTTTCCTCCTCCCCCTTTCCTCCCTCCCCTACCCCTTTCTCCTCCCACTACCCCTTTCCTCCCTCCCCTACCCCTTTCCTCCTCCCACCTCCTCCTCCCCACACTACCCCTTTCCTCCTCCCCTCCTTTTCCTCCTCCCCCACCCCTTTCCTCCCCTCCTACCCTCTTCCTCCTCCCTCCTCCGTTCTTTCATGATTTTTTTCACTGCGTTATGCCATAAGTGATAAATGACACACCATGACAACTACGGTAACTACACCATACTTCGGAGTGGTGTTACCTGTAACTGTATCAACCCATATATATTAGTTTGGTGGTGAAGGGTGTTGTGGTGGAAGTGTAGGTATTGCCTGTAGCCTGTCAACCCATATATTGGTTTAGTGGTGTAGGATATTGTGGTGAGTAGTGTTACTGTAGCCTGTGTCAACCCTTATGTCTTGGTTTTAGTGGTGCAGGGTGTTGTGGTGGTGGTGTTACCTGTAGCCTGTGTCAACCCATATATTGGTTTAGTGGTGTAGGGTGTTTCTTGGTGGAGTGGTGTTACCTGTAGCCTGTCAACCCCATATATTGGTTTTAGTGGTGTAGAGATTGTTGTGTGGTGGAGTAGTGTTACCTGTAGCCTGTAGCCCATATATTGTGGTTTTAGTGGTGCAGGGGTGTTGTGGTGGAGTGGTGTTACCTACAGCCTGTGTCAACCCATATATTGGTTTAGTGGTGCAGGGGTGTTGTGGAGAGGTGAATTACCACAGCCTGTGTCAACCCATATATTGGTTTAGTGGTGCAGGGTGTTGTGGAGGGAGTGGTGTTACTATAGCCTGTCAACCCCATATATTGGTTTTAAAGTAGATTTTGGGGTGTGTGGTGGAGTGGTGTTACCTGTAGCTACTGACACTTGCCTGTAGCCTGTCAGCCCATATATTGGTTTAGTGGTGTAGGGTGTGTGTGGTGGAGTGGTGTTGCCTAGCCTGTGTCAACCCATATATTGGTTTAGTGGTGAAGGGTGTTGTGGTGGAGTGGTGTTGCCTGTAGCCTGTGTCAACCCATATATTGGTTTAGTGGTGAGGTGTTGTGGTGGAGTGGTGTTACTGTAGCCTGTGTCAACCCATATGTTGGTTTAGTGGTGCAGGGTGTTGTGGTGGAGTGGTGTTGCCTGTAGCCTGTGTCAACCCATATATTGGTTTAGTGGTGTAGGGTGTTGTGGTGAGTGGTGTTGCCTGTAGCCTGTCAACCCATATATTGGTTTAGTGGTGTAGGGTGTTGTTGTGGTGGAGTGGTGTACCTGTAGCCTGTCAACCCATATATTGGTTTAGTGGTGCAGGGTGTTGTGGTGGAGTGGTGTTACCTGCAGCCTGTGTCAACCCATATATTGGTTTAGTGGTGCAGGGTGTTTGGAGGAGTGGTGTTGCCTGCAGCCTGTGTCAACCCATATATTGGTTTAGTGGTGCAGGGTGTGGAGGTGGTGTTGCCTGTAGCCTGTCAACCCATATATTGGTTTAGTGGTGCAGGGTGTTGTGGTGGAGTGGTGTTGCCTGTAGCCTGACACTTGCCTGTAGCCTGTCAACCCTATATTGGTTTAGTGGTGTAGGGTGTTGTGGTGGAGTGGTGTTGCCTGTAGCCTGTGTCATATATTGGTTTTAGTGGTGCAGGGTGTTGTGGTGGAGTGGTGTTGCCTGTAGCCTGTGACAACCATATATTGGTTTAGTGGTGTAAGGTGTTGTGTGGTGAGTGGTGTTGCCTGTAGCCTGTGTCAACCCCATATATTGGTTTAGTGGTGAAGGTGTTGTGGTGATGGTGTTGCCTGCA